CCACAGGGTTCCATCTTAGGACCTATGCTGTTCATCTTATTGATTAATGACATCGATCACCAATTGAATAGCTGTAAAATCCTACTATATGCTGACGACACAGTGGTCTTTACATCCAGTAAAAATCAAGAAACCATTTCATAAAACCAGGTGGCCAGTTTTGATAGATCCGAGTTTAAATTTTTAAACTCGGATCTATCTAAACTGGCCACCTGGTTTTATGAAAACAACCTAGTCGTCAACCTCAAAAAAGGAAAAACTGAATTCATCCTGTACGGTACACCTAACAAATTGTCAAAAGCCGAGAAAATGGATATTATGATTCGAAACGAACCGGTGAACGAAGTACAAGCGTATCAATACCTCGGAGTTAAAATGGATAAATCCTTAACCTATGTTGAGCACAATCCTTTTATACTGTAATAATCTATTTCTCGGTGACACAGTCAGCTCGATCGAAAAATTTCAGAAAGTACAAGAACGAGCTTTCAAAATTGCTTATGGCAACAACATCCAAAATAATTGGACAAAGTTGGAAAACATCCGAAACAGAGCTTGTGTAATAGAAGTGTTTAAATGTTTAAATGGCTTGGCACCTCAATGCTATGATGGCTACTTCCAAAGGCACTCACATGGAAAAGGCACCCGTGGAGATAACAACAAACTGCTATTGCCAAAAGTTAGAACTGAAACTGCACGGAAACGATTTGCATTCCAAGGAGCAGTTCAATACAACACACTACCAGACAGTATAACAAAAGAAACATCATTACTGAGATTTAAAGAACAATGTAACATTATTTTTAACTGTTAGAAAGTTAGAAACGATTCGTAAATTAGAGACATCTCACTTTTTATTGAACACTATTCTCAATAACTATTCGAAACATTTTGTAAATATGAAGCTTTACACTTTTTATCTATATAAATTTTATTGTAAACACAGGTCCTTGATTTATAGCAGCTTAATATAGCTGACCAACTTAACCTGTAAAAATATAGTTAATTATTATTATTATTATTTACGTTTATGTCCACAATGCTGTGTTGCTGAACCAAACGAATATGTATCTGGTTGGCACGAATTCAAGAGTGTTTCCTACTGTATGTCATGTAAACGTGACCACTTTGACCAGGATTCAAGTAAGAAAGTGATTGCAGAGAATCTAAATGTTAAAGCAGTTCTACAACCTCTACCCCACGATCATTAAGCCTGTTTAGTTTAAATGGAAATGGCAAGTCAGGAACAAAAGGTGAAACAAGCAATAGTGACTCTGATAGTCAATCGAGCAGGAGTGTCAAACCTATCAAACCTAGGATAGCCAGATCACAGATATGGTGGACATGATTGTAAACGACGATGGACTGGTACGTAAACTTGTATTTACCAATGTGGAAAAAAAAGAAAAAATAGCGATGCTTACAAAAAAATTTGCCTAAGTTAAACCAGAAGTCTCAGGATGCATTTGGAAAAGACTTCCCCTTTACAGTGCAACAGATGAGGAATAAATTCAAATGGTGCATAAGCACTTGCAAGAAAATTTGTCTAACAATCAAATCAGCAGTTAAATGTTTTGTTGAGAGCAAAGGATATGGGAACTGGTTTAATGTACTGTATCCCCTTGTTAAGACAATGGACTCTTGTAAACCAGAAAATGCCATAGAACCTTCTGCTAAAGTTGTGCCTGCTAAGCGACCAAAAACTGATGTTATCCCCAGGTCTCTTCAATTATTGCAAAATATAATTAAGAATGATTCAACTAAAGAATTGCTGCAAATTCTCAAAGACGACATGCAGCATTCAAGAGAGCAAGAAATGAAGCAGTTCGACTTGTTGTGTGGTTTGATACTCGAACCAATGCCAGCAGGTGCCATTCACTGGTAATCCTTATAGTAATGCACAAGGTATACATGCACAACAACAGTCACATATGCCATTTCCTCAACATAATGTCCAAGGTGTCTATCCTCCACAACAATCTCACATCCGATTTCCTCAACACAATGCTCAAAGTGTTTACCCCCCCCCTTCCCCCCAACAGTCACCATTGCCATTTTTTCAACTTGATGCTCATCATGTTTACCCCCTGCAACAATCACACTTGCCATTTTCTCAACCCAATGCCCAAAGTGGTCTATCCCTCACAGCAGTTACACATATTGTTTCCTCAACCAATTCCTTGAGGCACACGTGCATTCCAAACTGTTACTACACATCTGAATTGGAAGACAATAATTGTGGCACAATTGTTCAAAATGACAGCATCATTGATAATTTAGTGACATACAAGTACATTAATTTTAATAGTTCCTGTTGATATTGTTGCATACATTTGGTTATTTTATATCCAGAAAGCTATTTGACTGTTTATTAATCATTTAATCATGAACATTAAAAATATTTAGTTGAAGGAGATGTACAGACATCAATGAAAGAAATAGATATATACAGTATACCTAGCCAAAGTTGTTGTCCTCAATAAGATTAACACAATTACAGTTTGAGAGGCTTAATGAATTATTAAAAGTGAACTAACCCTTACCAAACTGACATATATGTAAAATGTCTGCAAGTATAAGTAAATATCTGCAAAATATCTGCATAAAAGTTGCAGATATTTGCAGATATGTCAATTGTCTGGCAAAATATCTGCATAAAAATTGCAGATATATGTAGATATGCCAATTGTCTGTCAATATAGTTATACAGTATCTGTAACTACACAGCAAAAAATAATTTCTTATTGAGAAAACAATTCTTACTTCAAGAAAATATTTGTTGAAATGAGAAACTAATTTTCTTAATTAGAAAACGGATTTTCAAAATGAGAAGTACTTGATTTGCAAGATTAATAAATTATTTTTACTTAAATTTTCTGAAAGAACGAAAATAAATTTGTTAAAATTTAAATATAACATCTTTTGCCATTTTTGCATATTTTTTCCAAAATGATATATTTTCCTCAATACTGGTATTCTTTTAACAAGATGTCAAATGTCATCCTGGATTTAGTTTCTATATGGGTTAGTATATTCACATTACTGTAATTGGCTTTTTTCAAAAGAGATCACAGTGCATATTCTGGGGTCGTTTGGAGGGACAAAATATATGGAGACAGGCATCAAATATGTGAAAGAGTAGAAGTGTATCTACTATCAACTTTTTACATGACCAAAAATGAAATATCTTCTTTTTACATTAAACTTTAATTTAAACATGTGCTGCTATATTTCTTGTCCCTCCAACAAGTAGTGATGGGCGATTACCGATTACTTGGTGTCGATACCACCCGATACCAGGCCCAAACAGGAAGTAGTCGATACTGCACGGTATCGAAAAAGTGTTTCGATTACTTTTAAAATTAGACATTCATTATAATCCTGTAGTTGTGTCATCGTTTTCATGGTTATTTCTAATAAAATTTAGGTACTTTTTTGTATTTTGCTGCATTTATCAATTTAATCAAACTTCCTTTATACTTTATTTGACATTCTATCCTCGCCGATAGAATAAATTATGAAAAAGGCGGGAAATAAAGTAATTTTTGTTTTTTATGTGTTAAAATGGCGGATCAAATCGTTACTGTTAAAAATATGTGACTTTCTGAAAATATATCGTTACTGTTACAGTAGAAGGCTACTTCTTTAACAGTTGCCTCTTTATTAAGTGACTTACATTTATTATTTTGAAAATTGGAGGAAGTAATCATTTAGGTAATCGATACTTCGATACTTTAATCAAAAAGTAATCGTTATCGTATCGAAACCGATACTGGTGGTATCGCCCATCACTACCAACAAGGGATTTGTGCAACTAGACCCAGGACTTTGGGAGATAGCTAAATAAATATACAAATTCTCTTCTATCATATTTATCTTTGTTAATTAATTTGTTATTAAAGTAAGTTTGGGACAAAAATATTGTGTTTTATTTATATTAAATGATACATTTGCCCCCTTTAGGAAAGGAGACCTTGCCCCACCCCCTTTCCATCGTCCCTGGTACCATATAACTACATTCTAATTTAATTTCTAAAGTTGAGTTCTTCCCATGTTTTATTGAATCATTGTAGAGAATTTTCATTTTCCAAGAATTTATTATAAATAAATTAACAGTCAATAACTGATTCAAAACATTTGTGAATATTCCTTATATTCGTAGAGCTAGAAACTATATTACATGAACAGGTGGGCAATTTGTCGACGCTGACCAAAAATAGTGGCTCATTTCTTCTTGAGTTGCCATTTTCGCGTCGAAGAGCAAAAATATAGACTTTTGGAGAATATTTTAGCTGTTTACTATCAAATGTTTGTGAAACAGTTGATAATCTTACTGAGGAAGGCGTTGGGTTTCTGAAAAGCTAAAGTACGTCGAAATCAGCTTTGGAATAGACTATATTCTCACCAGGGAAACATGAACTAAATGGATATTTACATCAACACTAAATTTTGCTCGTGCCTACGGAGCTAGTTGGATTAAAACAGATGTTAAGAAGTAAGTGAAAATGTGAACTTTGTGAATTATACTTTCATTAAAATGTTTCAGAAGGTCTGCTAATGGAAATGACACATGTGACAGAGCTGTCAATATACCCATATTTCAATGTTTATGTTGAAATGACCCATCTTCTTTGAGGTATAGCTTAAAAATTAGGGTATGCTCATCACTTGAAACTAGCTTTAAATCAAAGTTTTATCTATAGTCGTTTTATTAGAATTAAAATCATTCATGGGAAAAATGTGCCAAAGGGTTGAAATTGCCCTTGTAAATATACACTATTTTTGACATGTTTGGGTTAGTATTTTGAAAAGGTGTTCTGGAAGGAAAATAGTGGTTGGCCCTTAAATTATAACTAGTGTTATGTAAATCACAGAAAATTGGAAAACGTCTGGTCCATACACAATAGTTTGGATTCTATGAGGTCCCGAATGCGGCTTATTTCAATGTTTAATCTGTTTACCTGGAAAAACATCGAAAATTTAATAAGTCAAGAATTTGACTATGCTCATCACCCAAAACCAGGTTTTTCTAATTGCTTTTTCACCTGGGTTTTGTGGCAATACCAGTTATGCGACCACAAAAAATGTGTGCGGCACTTTTTTTGAACACTGAAAATGGCAACATTTGATGTTATATATTGCCATCCTCTTATCATAGTATAACTTAACTTATTTTAGTGAGTTTGTTAAAGAATTGTGCTCACTATATGCCTGTACAGAGGAGGTTGGACAGCTAATTAGCGAGTTGTCATGTGAGCTCTCGACCAATGAGATCGCTCTATTTTCCATAGTGTTATCTGCAGAATTTGGACAGAAAAATTTGCATTCGACGGAAAATAAATCGGAAAAAAATATTAATATTAAAATTTTCTTGCAAAATCTCAAGTGTTGTAGTACTACTATTAAAGATCTGGTGATATCTGCAAAAATCTCTGAGGTAAACTTTATTTTCAATGTTATTTTGATGTTTGAAGTTAGTCTACTCCCCGCGACGTGTTGACTCAAGTCTAAATATGTTTACAATGTTTAAAATGAAATATGTAGAATTCCAACATGGTTCGATTTTCTTCATTTTTGGTAGTCGTCAAGACAAAAGTATAAGCTTTAAATTTGCTGGAATGATCCCGGTGATCCCCCGGCAGTTTTCGAGATATTGACCGTTGAAGTGACTACTGTCAACTCGATGTTCGCTAAAATGGCGTCTAATACCGTGGAAAGAATTTGCACCATCAAATACGATATTTTCAATGAATTTTTGTTAAAGTGCTAAAATATTATTTAGAAGACTTAGGAGTTGTTTTAATATTTTTGTAGAATTTATACCTGTGCGATTTTCAAAGTTTTGTTGTCTTCGGCCGACGCGACTGGATCGTGTACGTATTTCAAGACGAGCTGATCGCCTGATCCTTGGGTTTTTGTGGCAAATCGAGCTGCGGAATCCTCAGCATGGACAAATCAGTGTCATAACAGCCCATTTCAAACCAGCAGAGAGCTCCACTTGTTTTAAAACAATAAAACAAGTTTTTATTGTATTATCATATCTATCATATTATTCATATATAAACAAATTAAGGGAGTGGTCATTATTTAATGGGGAGGGGGGGGGGGGTTGGTAAATGGGGAAAATAAGGATTAAAAACTTTTTTGACCCCCCTCCAGACTGAAGGCAAACTTTTTGTGCCTCCTCATAAAAGTAGAAACTTTTCTGACCCCCTCCCCGCCAGTGTGGATTGAAAAATTAACAGCAATGAAACAGGTGTGCATTGCAGGTAAAGTTAGATATTAGGACAATCTGTTTAAATCTAGCTCATGATGTTTTACCCTGGTGAATATGATTCAACCATATATGATTAAAAAATATATATTATGTGTTACTACTGCAATGCAACATTTGTCTTTCCATAACCCATGGCCCGTCTTCATACAGCGAAATGATTTGAACACAGGGCTTTTTTTAAGAACTTGTCTGGGGGTGGGTATCTACAAAAATGGACCATACTATACTGAGTGTGGAGAGATGACAGATGGTTGTTGGTGACAAAAAGTTTGGTGAGGTATTGTATGTATTAGTAGGGGGGTCTGGGGAAAGTTTTTTCAGTGTATTTTTCCCTAGGACTGAAATGTGAGCATTTTCTGAAACAGATTTTTGGATATACGGTGTTACATTGTGCTTTGATAGACCGAATCTGATCAGTTAAGTGCACTTGCATGGTATGTTTATGTAAATACCACAACTGGGACACTCAGGGGGTAGGAAGCTTGTTAAACTTAGTGGGTCCCACTCCCACGAGGCACTACCATGGTTGGCACTAAGCAATTTTGAGTCTCTAGATCATTGTAAATGGCATTTTCAGAGTCTTCTTTTTTGCTATTTGTGATCATTATAGAAATCAGAACTCTAGGCATGATATTTAAGTTCAAAAACTTTTTTGACCCCCCCTTTCTCTGCATTAAAACTTTTTTGACCCCCTATTTATAAGGGTAAAACTTTGTTTGCCCCCCCCCCCTCCCCCCATAAATAATGACCACTCCCTAAGTGGCATGTTATTGTTGGGATCTCGGATTAATTTAATAAATATATAAATAGACATCTTCTTGTTGTATTGTTGCATCAATTTTAATCGGAAAAAATACTCACAAAGTAGGTCAAGTGTATGGATAAATTATTCATTTACTAAAGTACATTTTTACAGTCATTTATGTACTTAGTCTTCTTATTTGCATGAGTGTATATGACAGATTGTTTTAATTAGATATACCCAGTTATCATTTATAACATATGGTTTGTTTAAAAATGCTGGAAAAAAAACAAAAAAGTTAGTCAATTGAAATGAATGCACTAATAACTTGCTAAACATAGCTAGTTGCTATTTATTATATAAAAAAACATCTGTCAACATACACTCATGCTTTTTCCTACCACTTGAGTCTCCACTTACCAGGTTTCGGGGCGTTAGAAGGGGTTAACCCCCCCCCCCTTAGAATCTCTCTAACCCCTCTTATCAAGTGTTTAACCCCACCAAAATTTTGCTTCAAAAGCCTTAACCCTAATTCCTAACCCCTGTAAAAAGATCACTCAGTGGTGGTGCTTGCACCCCACTAGAAATGTTTCCACCAGACCTCCACGACATCTGCAGCAATTAATGGGTGCAAATACTTGCATAGTTCAAAAGCAATATAACCAAAATGTTGTCCATCCAGTTACATAGTCTAGTCGATAGGCAATTCCAGCTTTTGATTTATGTGTGCAGGGGTGGCAGGAAGTAAGGTATCATATAGCTGATTATGCTGAAAAATTTTAATAAAATAAACTAAAAGCTGGAATTGCCTATTGCACGTGGGTCCCTTGGATTCAATGGTGCTGGCCATATTCTTACATTCACTATTTTATCTTGTTCATGAAGAGTGAGGTATTATGCCTTAATTTAATTTTCCAAATGATGTTGGTAGTTTTTCTCACGAGCAGCACTGATGCACTTGAATGGTACAGCGTGGGTGACTTCTTCCTCATCACTTTCATCTTCTCACTTAAACGTCATCACTTGCTGCCCTGTCATCCCTTTCATTATCATATCCATCCTGAACAGGCTCAAGACCAGCCAACCACTCAAGTAATTTCTTTCTACAAAATCATAACAAGAAAATTATTATTTGATACATTATTATCATCTCTAAAATTAGCAAACATGTAACCTCTAAAATTATATTCTCACAACCATCTACAACTAGATACAAACAGGCATCATACTCAGCAAAAATTTATAAAACAATACATACAAATAACTGAATAACAATATACCTTCAGACTCATCTGAGAAGCAATGTAACTATACTGTATGCACATATATGTAAATTAAAATCTATCCAATACAAACAGGCATCATACTTCAGCAAAAATTTATTAAACAATTCGTTTAACTCAAAACATGTACATATCTATCACAGTGACACAGTACATATACACACACAGTAGGGTCAAACTAGAGTAGAGGCATTATAAACACAAGTATGACGCCATAATTTTGTACAGTGTATTTATAAAATTACAGTACAAGAATAAAAACAACAAAGCGGAAATTTGACTATAAAATATTCACGATAACTGTAATGCATTGTAGTATATTGTAGTATACCAATTAACCTTAAACACTGCGCTTGTTTTCACGTTGATGATACACGGAGATTTAACGCCATCCCACTTAGAAAGAAGAGCCTCGCTATTGGGAATATAAAATTAAACACAATTCCTCTTCTCAGACGGATTATTTATAAAGCTAAAATGACAGCACGTCCCATGCAATTTAAAAAAAGTTAACTTGAAAAAGCAAAACACAAGTCATAATGATGATCGCAACAATACAGCAATAACATGCTGTTTCTTTTCACAAAGTATCACAGCCTGACACTCTTGTCGTTCGAAAGCTTCCATATTGCTTTAGTCAGAGAGATGTTCACTCCTCGACAGTCAACAATCAATGAAGTCACGCGTGGAATGAGGCGCTCAATACCCGTGATGCTTTGCGGCCTACTGTCCAACCTCCTCTGTTTTTACGGTATGTGAATATGAATACATGAATATACAACCCCCCACCCAATTATTTATACGTATATATTTTTCGAAAGAATAGTTGAATATATGAGGAGCATTTGAATCAAAACATGTACTGTAGCAATGGCCAGTGTTTTTTTCCGATGTATTTCTTTTTCGCATTTCGACCGAAGAAAATTGCATATCGGGCTTGCCACTATTAAGTCCATTAAAGTCAATTCAGTGCCATATTTTTACTATCTTTGTTATCGACTTTCAACTTTTTGGGCAGTGATTAGTATTTTGAGTTTCAAAACTGCATGTCTTCACTCCTCGGTTTGTCGCTAAAAATGAAATATGGAAATAAAAGAATATCACTATGGGCATGCACAATTAAAAAATAGTTTTCAGTACGGATCTCCCAGTCGGTAAATGACATGTATATATTATTTTGCTAGATGCTTAATCAAATTCCTAAAAACTCCAGTGATGCAAACTATATATTTGAAATCAGTTGCTAAAACGATTCAAGGTTTTCTCGTTCTAATGTTCTAGAGATCCGCTCCGACACGCCTTTAATATATGGTAATGTGATAAAATTTGTTTGCGGGACTGCGGAATTGACAGCATCAAGGGGGCTTTGTTTTTCCTTAAGTCTGCGATGTTTGTCACACTGTTTTAAAAACTGTTTGGGGTAGCCATTGTTCATAAGTACCTTGGAAACATGTTTACGTTCCTTTCTTTTTCCCGAGGTAGAAGTCGGAATAATATCTGCTCGATTAAGTAAAGAATTAACGACAGAACGTTTATGAGTGGTGGGATGGTGGGAATTAAAATCCAAGTATTTGTTTGTGTGTGGATTTCCTATAAACGCTGACTTGTATAGTGTTCGTGTTTTCTAGGAAAGCAAGATGAATATTCTAAAGACGATGAATATTCTAAAATAGCGCAACACACAAACAGTTAACACCCACCTTCACAGAATGGATTTTGATAACACCAAAGTTGTTGATCGTGAACCAGATTATAACAAAAGGTTATTCCTTGAAGCGTGGTATTCTTTAAGACAAGCCAATGCGGGAAATGATCACAATGACATTCCTGAGATTTACAATTGCCTTGTATAGTTCAATAACAGTCAACGTAATAATTATGTTCGTGAAGACAATCCTGAGATTATAATAGTTTTAGCAATTAACATACATATTCGTACGGTCCTAATGACATTCCGGATATTTAGTTTTGTCTTAACAAATTAATAGCAATTTTAACATATTTTGTGGTTACATTCATCAGCTGGGAAGCGAAATCCCTGGAAATTTAACCAGGAATATTTCCTGAATATAGGGTTATGTCTACTGTACGTTAACCAGCAAAATTTTAACCAGAGTATTTTAGAGTGAACGACTCGACTCGTTACGTTTTCTTGGTTTTCAGTGTGGATATTGACGTCTGCAGTAAATGACACGAGTCAACTCAAGTGCAACTTGATCAGAGTAAACTCATTAAAAATATTGTGGTGACGAAGAACAATGAGGCCGGAAATATAATGCGCACACTGTCTATAACATTTACGTCATGTCTTCAATAACATGCGAATCGTCACGCAAACTTGATTAAAAACTAGGGATCCAAGGATAGTGTGAAGTTTCAAATTGAAAAAGACACTGCAAGAACTATATAGGTTCGCCGACAACCTAGAAAAGCTGATGGCTTACACTACGAAATAAACAATTACCAAATGCATTTCATCTCATGCGCTCGGCGCACGACGTTTGAAACAAGCCTGACACATCAGAAACGTGCCTTGTGAAACTGACACAATTTATCTATTTATTGTGATGCTACACGCATGCTAAATTTCAATTGTTTCACCAACAACCAAATTTTGCATATTCTAAATTTCATTTGCATTTGTATTTGCAGCTGTCGCTAAAAGCATCCCCACGAGGCTACTGCTATGCTAAACTTATCTAAAACTATAATTGAAATAGCTGTATAAATATGTTATGAATAATAAGCACTACGTCGTTATATCATTGAAAGGAAGCACTTTATCTTCATCCGTTCCGTATTTTATCCGCATATCCGTTCCGTGGATCCGCTCCATCCGCTTCCGCATTTTAACCTAATTGTGACATGTTTCACAATAACAAGTCTCATTGACCTTTGACTTTTCGAAGGTCACATTGTGTCTATTTTCAGCTTTTCGCATGTGTTGAATAATGTCACTTTAGATTTCAATAGTTTCACAGTTATAGCTGCAGTGTTTAAAGCAGTTTTGACAAGCTTTGATACAGTTCTGTGTACAGAATACTACAGATTGATTCTCGTAAGATCTGGTAGAGTTATCGTTGCACTGAAAACGAGTTTGCACCGTTGACAACGGCGTTGTGCTAGACAGTAAGCAAGGTCCGTGACAGTACATGTTGGCTACATGTACCTCCTTGCTTTTTTCTTCCATTGCATAAATCTTGTTGGCGAGCCAAGCGATTGGCGATAACACGTTGGCGATAACACATTGGCTATCTCCTCGTCTTTCTTATTTAAATAAGGAGCTCTGACTCAACTGGTTTCTTTCGTCTCGCAATATTTTCTTCGTAAACGCCTGTACAAACACCCGCTTCTGTTTAATAGTTGTTTACGCTTTATTGATCTGATGCAGATCTGATGCAATTTTTCGCTCTTTGTACTGAGTTCTGTGATGTAGCACCTTATACAGTCAATGACAATGTATAATGAATACACGGTCTAAATAATATCGATTGGCACATAATTGAATGCCGGTAATTATAACATCAATTTATATATTATATTATTGCATAGAATCTCAAAGATTTTCTCAATATTCATGTCTGAAATGTTTATATACTTGAAAACAACACTGTCTCGCTTCTTCGTACGTACTGTACCTCCGTATAATGAGTATACCGTGAAAATAATATCAGCACTCAATTGAATGCCTAGAATCTCAAAGATTTTCGACTCAATATTTAATACGTCTGAAATGTTTATACACTTGAGTGTTGACTGCACTGTCTAGGCGGTCTAGCTCCTTCCTAGCTCTGTATAATGAATATACCGTCTAAATATTATCGACACTTAATTGAACGCCCGTAATGCATAAGATCAATTTATATATTGCGTAGATTTTCAAAAATTTACTCAATATGCACGTCTGAAATGTTTATACATCTGAAAACAACACTGTCACTCCTTCCTAGCATATCGTCACGCCATCGTGATCTACGGCTTGATAGCGCATGCGCATTTGCGCTACTAAAAAAATCGGGTGTTCCGGGGTAAAGATCCTTTACACAACATGAGAAGCGAATGTTCTAAAATTTACAAAAAAACACAATAACAAAAGCGATTCCTCGAAATTTTTGTGAACTTGGCAAAAGGATAACAGAATATGTAAATAAGTTAACTGAAATTGCCTAAATAACCTTCAAAGTACTGACTAAGTACAATAAAACACTACGAACATAAATCGTATACACCCCCGGAAAGTTTACTCTATGACTGACTGACTGACTGTTTGACTGACTGACTGACTGACTGACTGAATGACTGACTGACTGACTGAATGACTGACTGACTGACTGATAAGTTTGAATTTCCTCCCAGTCATCACAATACTGTGAAGTTTCGAAGAAACTTCACACTAAAAACGATCAGGTTGTTGCAATATTGATGAAAACAGTATTGAACAATATATGTTGTGCGGCCCACATTGTTCACAGTTGTCAACAATATTGAACAATATTGTTACACCCGATTCAGGCTCAACAATATTGTTCAATATTGTTGACAAATGTGAACAATGTGAGCCGCACAATATTGTTCAATCCTGTTAAATAGCAGGCTCATAATTTTTACGCGTGTAAGTAATTAAGTAAGCGTAATACTTGATGTAAAGTGCATTTGATCATATCCACATGTAACTTGCGCTGTAGAAATGTTAATCGTAATCATAATCTAATTGTGCGTTCAATGGACCTTTCCCCTTATAACTAAAATCTCGATCTAGACAAAAATTTCATCACAGCTTGAAAGAGCATCACAAAATTAGTAATATTCCAAAGTTTTGTTGCAAAATCTTGTAAAATGCGGATAATATAGCCTTGCGAAGTTTGCCGTTTTTCAGTCATTTTGTATCACAAACGGGAAATTGACATACGATTCGGGTGTTGGGACTGCAATTTCCCGTTTGTAATGCAAAATGACTGAAAATTGCAAATGACTTCGCAAGGCTCTATTTTCCTCATTTTACAACATTTCGCAACGAAACTTTGGAATATTACTAATTTTGTGATGCTCTTTCAAGCTGTGATGAAATATTTGTCTAGACTTGCCTAGATCAAACTTTTGGTTATAAGGGGAAAGGTCTATTGGCTCTGCCGGGCAAAACAAACTTTTGCTAATTTCTCATTCAATTTTCACCTAAACTTAACCAAAATTAAATCAATCGGTCCTTGGGTAATGCCCATTATGCCCACAAATTTTCGTATTACTACGTTTGATGTTTTTATCGTGCTGACAAACACAAAAGCAAACGCAGATGAAAACATAATCTCCTGGCGAAGGTAATGATCAGTATCTAATCCTAGTATATTCCTATAACATTCTTACCATGTTTGTATTTTCAAATGGTACAATTGAACCAAGATGCATCATTCTTTCAGTGTCAGTGTAATGCTTTGGCATACCCGCTAATCCATTCAGAGCCAAAATTCTTCTTTTACATATTTCTAATGCTATGAAAGAAGATATATTTGATATGAAAAACGTTACTGTAAATTAATTGACTATATTAAAAATTTTACTTAATAAAAGGATTATGTGGTAATTGGGACTATAGTAGTGTACCCAGTCCCTGCCACATTTTGGAGTAGTATGTCACTTTGTTAAAACATTAATGATGACATAGAGCTCGAGGTTGTGCTGGAAATTACATTAATTGAATCAAGGCCGGATCAAACGAGGATGAGTGTGATCTTGGTTAACTGTTCTTTATACTTTCCTAACTTAAGTTGTAGATTCATGTGTCGCTGTTTATATGATTGCTAACCCTAATCCGAAGAAACAAATTCAGCCGAGAATTACAGAATTTTCTCATATTTCTAAATTTGCTTCTTCGAAAATAATTTCTGTCCCCCAGGAATGCCATCCCCATAGAAATTCCACAAAACGCAAAATTTTTCTAAAACGATTCGAAAGCCTCGAAGTGAAAACACTTAGATATCTCTCATAACAATAAAGGCGTGCCAAAAGGTTCATTAGTATCAAGGAAGATAGTAATAGAGAATATTGTAATGAACGAAAAAAATTCTTATATTTCAACGTCATTATTAAATTGGTTCTTACAGCGGCCATATTTCATTCGCTTTATAGTAATAAAATAGTATTAGTGGCGGAGGGGAGGTTCTACCATTAGACTGATTAGTCCATTTTTACGGTTCCGCCATAGTTTCGCTTTATGTGCATGTTTTTCTGTGTTGTGATATATATTTTTTCTGCCTCCTTCTGGTCGTATGCATTTTTTTTCAGAAATGTTTCACTTAGTCTCAGGACATGGATATTATTAATCTAACAAATTTTGATCGGAACGCCATATAGCTTTCCATATTCACAGACAAAAACTTTAATCACGGAAGCAAAGTGTCGAAAGGATATTTTAACTAAATATATATATAACACCTGTCTTATTTTTGTAATTTTATCTTAGGAATAGCATTCATGTATCCTGATGATTACTAAATATTCAGTCAAAACGTCGATGTATTCTGGAGATCAGTTTTTGATGAGCGGGGGGGAGGGGCGGATTATCTGGACAGAAATCCTCGAAGAACAAAACCAACCACAACTGTACTTACACACGTTTTCAAGCATATCAAGTCAGGGTATTATCACGATTATCTTGGATATACAACTCGAACTAATGTTGAAGGGTATTGCTGATGGAAATTTCGCGTGTCAATTTTATACAGTCATTTCTTTAGACCTAACCAGGAGTTAGTGCGAAAACTATCCTTGAACATTAGTTCAATCGAACGAGATGCCCAAAATCTCGATATTTACTTCTAACTATTTACACTGTTGTTTCGTTTTATATTTTTTGTCAGTCCTTTGACGTTTACAGCAAACATTTACAATTGGTGATCACATTCACGGTCAACACAGTTCAATGCGTGGTTCCAGTGTTTCCCAGTGTAGGTTGCAGGAAGAGTTTCGAAGATCCGAAACAAGTCTCGCCAGTGTGGAAGTTTGTGAGGGATAACGTGAGGGATAGCATGCATGCATGCATGCGTATATATGGTCAGTTTCCGACTCACGACACTAACTTTCATGGACGAAGGGCCTTCGCTCGAAACGTCTGCGTTAACTTGTTATATTTTTCAGATTGACCTCTAATCCCTCAAGTATAAAGTTGATGATGCATCTACCTTCTAGACGAAGGGCCTTCGCTCAAAACATCGAAGGTGTTTTTATTTTTCAGGTCAGTTGTATCATCTACACCGCAGTAAAGATATAGAGTGCCTCTGAATGTTTCCTGGTTTCCATTTAGTCGTGACGACCATATTTATCACGCTCGCTGAGAGTGTGACGTCAAAATATACGGGAATCCAGATTACAGTATTGATCTCACATGGAAACCAGGCTGAAAGAATTGAATAAAAGGCTACGTGCGTCGAGATATTCGAAGATCCTTGATGATTTTCAATCCTTCGGTGCGTAAAATCGTATTTTTCCAGTAAAAGATCAAGCAGTTAAATGTATACTATTCATTGTGACTATTATTTCAGATATAGGAATACAACTTGATGATGCAACTATCTTTCAGTCGAACTGATGTTTCCTGGTTTCCATTTAGTCGTGACGACCATATATATCACGCTCGCTGAGAGTGTCAGATCAAAATATACGGGAATCCATGCACTACAGTTTGACTCGCATGAAAAGCAGGCTACAAGAAAACTGGTATAAAAGGCTACGTGCGTTGAGATATTCGAAGATCCTTGATGATTTTCAATCCTTCGGTGCGTAAAATTGTATTTTTCCAGTAAAAGATCAAGCAGTTAAATGTGCTATTCATTGTGACTATTGTTTTCGCCCACAGTACTATAAGGGTTTCATTATCAAACTGTAACTTCGCTACTGGCTCACTCGAGACTATCTTTAGTAGAAGGAAGACGAACGCTGGAATGGACAGCACCACAAAACAAGCAACTGTTAGCAAGCAACTCGATATATTTCTCAAAGAAAACGCCTTTTTCACAGCCTCTGCTGTTACTCTACGACTCTTCCTGGCAATTGTAAACAATTTGTAGTTGATGAAGAACGTTGGAGGACCGTAAATAACAAGGAAGAGTAATATCAAATACTTTTGTGGAATTGCGAGGCCATTTACAAAAATTTGCGTCAATGCTACATTAAAAATTATCTGTATGACAAGAAGAGTTTGAAGTCTACCTTTCGTCACAGATGTGCGATGAAAGATAGGAAAAGATATCGCCAGAAATCGGTCCAAATTCATCACCAAAACAGCGAGCAAAGAAAAACCATTGCACATAGTGACAAAACTTAAGTAAACACCCATCCAGGCAGGAAATACATCAACCTTTTCCGTCAACCAAAACATCGCGATTAGCGCCAACAATGGATGATTAGTTAACACCGCAAGCAAATCGCAGCAGGACAAAACCATTATCATAAAATAACATAATTTCTTTCGCAGTTGTGCAGATCTCCAGAGACTGAGTATGACCAAAGAATTTAAACATATTCCTGAGAAAAAGAACAAAACGTTGACAGCAAATATGAATATCATATTGATAAAAAAATTCAACTCCATTGTCAAGTGACTGCTTTGGAAGACATGAACATGAAAATAACGCAGTTATAATTTAGGCAGTTTAGATATGACATTTCATTTGAGCTAAAACATATTAGATGTCAATCCAGAGGAGGAATGAGGGTCTTCCCGAAATGCAACGCGCGAATCAGTGCGGCTTATTATTATTCAAGCTATTATTCTCAATGCCCCGTTCGATTAAAAACTGTTGAAATATATTGCGATTTTTGCCGTGAAGATCTCGTTTCCTCAAAGGTATGTTTCGATAACCTTTTTGTTTAGTTATTTAATAAAAGCAGTTTTGAATAATTTTGTATATATATCGCATTTTACTTATGTTAAATTCCGATTGTATTTATGCATGTTTTGGGTGTTGGAAAAGTGGCATTGAAATATTCTGGAGTAAATTGTACTTTTTTACAAGGAAACTAAAATAAAATTACATCAGTGAATTCAGGAATGTTTACTCTTTATATTGATGCTTTAAAACATGAATTTACTCCATAAAACCGAAGAGTTATCGCGGTTTGAAAGTGAGCTATTTTTGCTATATTCGATAATTAGCAAAAATAGCTCATTTTCAAACCGCGATAACTCTTCGGTTTTATGGAGTAAATTCACGTTTTAAAGTACCAATATAAAGAGTAAACATTCTTGAATTCACTGATGTAATTTTATTTTAGTTTCCTTGTAAAAAAGTACAATTTACTCCAGAATATTTCAATGCCACTTTTCCAACACCCAAAACATGCATAAATACAATCAGAATTTAACATAAGTAAAATGCGATATATATACAAAATTATTCAAAACTTCTTTTATTAAATTACTAAACAAAAAGGTTATCAAAACATACCTTTGAGAAAACGAGATCTTCACAGCAAAAATCGCAATATATTTCAACAGTTTTTAATCGAACGGCGTGTTGAGAATAAATAGCTTGAATAATAATGAGCCGCACTGATTCACGCGTTGCATTTCGGAAAGACCCTCATTCCTCCTCCGACAAGTCATTAAAGGCCTCAGAAAGTTTGCCATTACTGTACTGATGTACAAAAAGTGCTGTGTAGACATAAACAATATCTGGAAATTTTAATACATTCAATTTTTTAAATAGAGGAGAAGTATGCTCCCTGAAGTTAGAAAAGGTAATGATGTATATAGCTTTTTTTGCAGAACTACTAGAGGACAAAGGTTTGATTGATAGGTATTTCCCCATATGATTACACTGTATATTAGAAATGGAAAAATAATAGAATAGTATAATTGGATTAAAATACTTGTAGGGACAAAATGACGTAATTTGGACAATACACCAATACTTCTAGCTAGTTTTTTGGATAACTCATGAACATGAGCTTTCCAGTTCAAACTGGAATCAATAATTACTCCCAAATAATTTGCACTCTTCTTTTCCTCCATAACCTCTCCTCTTATTAGAAGCTTAAATGGATAATTACGTTTCTTTTGTGGAGGATGAAATATGACAAAGCTTGATTTGTCTGCATTGAGGGGCAGTTTGTTGGCACATAGGCATTCATTTACATATTGCAATTGATTATTCATTTTGAATTCTAGATCCTGTAAGCTCCTGTCAGCACAAAATCGTAAGCAACATTTTACAGGGTGATAAAATGCTGCATTTCGCGTATTTCATTTGTATTTTTATTTTAATACCCTTAACAAAGGGTTAAATTTGTTATTAGTTGATGGAAATGGCTTGTATGGAAGAATAACAAGGCCGAATTGTTTACAACCGACACGGGATGACACTGAAATGGTGCCGAATTTGGACTACAAAGTTGAGGTTTTACCTTGTCGATGGTTAAACAGCTAGGATCTATTTGAAACCCAGTTGAAACTTGTTTAAAATGTGCTTGATACCATTATGTTTGAGCTGAATTGCATACTTGGAAGGATTTCAACGAGATCGGCCATAAACAGCGGAGTAAAGTGGAGAATTTGGCCAAATACGTCCATTTGCAGGAGTATGTACATTTCAATTTATTATTTCGGTCACAAAATATTAACTATTTTACACCAAAACAGTGATAATATAATTAAATAAGTACCAATTATGTTTCTATTAAAAAGATGTAGGAAAAAAGGTAATGTAGATCCACTGCTGTTTATTTGAAGTTATAAGCCTCAAATTGACGTTTGACTATGAGTATTGCATGGTCATTTTCTTGTGAAATATCAGTGCTAGGCATTTCACACTTACCAAGGACCACCCCTAAAACCACCATCTCTGAACCATATAAGCACTTCAGAATAGCCAAAGCTTTCATGGTTTGGTAGATAGCACTATGGCGAAAGCGTCGTTTTTGGGTGTGGTTAGTTGCGGACGTTTCGTCCTGGATTGGGGTTCGGGCAGCGTTACCATGTTGACCGTCATGGTCAACTTGCCCTAAAACAGTTGAGATTATCTGTCCTAAATATGAAATGCATACAAACTCATATACAGGTCCTAGGCTATAGGGGCTATATTTATATGAGCCAGGCTGGCCTGGTTAAACGGGATGATTCATAAAGCTTTTATCACGGCCTTGTGTCGCGTAACTTAGTGCGATTTATGTCACGCTGGTTGCTGTCTCACGATTCAAGACATTTCACACGTGCGACTGTATTTTTTCAGTATTACACGTTAACACGACAATAACCAATCACCCACACTACACTTTTTAGCCTATATTTATACTACCAAACAGGAGTACATATTTCGTGTACCACAAATTTCCCTTACGTAAATGGAACACGTTTACTGCTATTTTGTTTCCTTTTTGTGGCTCGTGATGTACCACACCATCTTACCTCTTCCGCAGACGCTTAGGGAGCATTTCGGGCAGGTTCGGAAAATGTGGGTTACAGGCGAGAGCGCCTGCCGAGTAATATTTTCAAGATGGCAGGTGCTATAAATCGAAATTTTCATTTTAGCTTTTACTATTATGACTTAATATACAATATACATACCAGCACTGTTCTAATAGATCTAAATAATATTTAGAAATAGCATCCAGTGGTCTTGGCAGACTAAAAAGTACTTATAACTAGCCGGCCGCCGCTTTTGTATAACGATGCCGATGGAGACTGTTTTATAAAGTGTTAATACAATGCAAATACAGTGGAACCTCTCTCTTAAGCGGACACCTCTTTTAAGCGGACACAATTCTCAGGTCTCATTCGTTTTCTTGAATAAAATACTATTACTAGGAGTTACTATCGCAAGGAAAATGCTGCCGATATGTACATGTAGGATGTGCTACAAAAAGAGCGTTTTTTCACTGTATGTATGATTTATTGTCTTACACATCGTCGTTCCTCAGTTACCTTCGTACAATTATATCTTACATCTAATCTTATGAAAAGTATATTTTAATATACTTAACAGTGCGACTTTGATAGTTGACACATAATATAAATGATAAAATGTGAATATTATTGAATGATTTTGTCACTCGCACAACTTTTACTTTGGCTATTCAAACAATTGATTTAAAATAGTTGAATTTATACTTACTGGGATGTTATTGCTTATTGGGATGTTGAAATTATGTTTGTTTTAAATACATTTAATTGATATTCCATAAATTCATTTTGTATGATTTCATTGACCTTGACATTGTTCAAAATCATTTTGTATTGTATTGAAACTGTATGTCTATGACCTATGTTATGTACTATATTAACCCATTGAGTCGCAGCATTGCACCCTGATGCACCCTACTTTGAACAGTATTTTACTCTGTCTAACGCCAGACGATTTTACTCGTCAAGGGGTGAGTGCTGGCGCTTAATGGGTTAACTGATCTATCTGCCCATGTGTCTAGTTAACCCATTGGGTCGCATTGCACCCTGATGCACCCTACTTTGAACAGTATTTTACTCTGTCTAACGCCAGACGATTTTACTCGTCAAAGGGAGAGTGCTGGCGCTTAATGGGTTAACTGATCTATCTGCCCATGTGTCTAGTTAACCGATTGGGTCGCATTGCACCCTGATGCACCCTACTTTAGTATTTTACTCTGTCTAACGCCAGAGTATTTTACTCTAACGCCAGACGATTTTACTCGTCAAGGGGAGAGCGCTGGCGCTTAATGGGTTAACACGCCCAAAATCTGTACTAAAACTGCTAATTCTGTTTTGTGATTGGCACAGTTTAATCAAAGAATCCTCCCGTTGAACCAGAGCCTTCACGATATTTCAATTTATTATTAACTGAGGGCTCTGGAATCCAGGATAGCTTGCCATTGAATACAGTGCAATGCTTATATTTCTGAATGAATAAGATCATACTCAGAACAGTCAGAACTGCAAAACTATATTATTAGAAAGAAGTTGAAGTTGTGAGCATTATTGTGGTAACACAGCCATATGTATATATCAATGTGAATGTATGTCAGTAGAATCATGTTTATAGGCTTTATATATAACTGAGGCCTTATACAAGTCATATCTTATACAAAAGTCAGTTGATATGCTATATTACATGTAATTGCTGATAAGTCCATATATGCAGACAACAATCCACACTGGGTAGCTCTAGGAATCTTGTTAAGCCTGATTTAACAACATCCCGCGTTTGTTTTAAAACTATAAACATTTAGAAATAGAACGTACCGAACACTATTATATACTCACCGCCTTTGGCTTTGCACATATTAAGTGACATAACAAACAAATAAACTAAAGGTTCATTTGCTTCTTGTATCAGCATAAAGGCATTAATCATTACTGTCGATTTGGTCGGGAATAGATCAGTGATTCAGTGGGTATTATAATTGCCGATATATTCTTGAAATCATTTTGTTTCAATGCCTCTATATCGAAGTTCAATACTCTAAAGTGACTAAACAAGTATAAACAGCAGATTTAAGTATAAATGCCTTCATGTATTATAAAATATATCACCAGACAGGTAGACAGGGCACACGGCACGACTACATCACTATACGAGAACGAAATAAAGCCATCCTTACCTGAATTATTCAAAATATTGTCGATCATTCTTGCGCCAGAGACACAAAATAACACCGTGCTTTATTTACCCATTCATCTTCACAAATATTACTCGGAATTTTTGTGGAAATTCGCATTATTTTATGATTTTTATATTTCTGTCCGTTTAACAGTCGCCATGTTGTGAACAAACCCCCCCGGGAACAAAAAAATAATATCAAAACAGCTAGTTTTGGCCCGTCCGTGGATGACAGAATGACATAAATCGAGATTGTAGCGGCTATAAACTCGGCGGTCACGTGGTAAGCACACCACGTGTAGAGATTAGTGTGCTGCCGAGCTACGCTCGGCAGCAATTAATCGTGTACACTCATGATGATCGACAAGTTTGCTCAGCTTTATCTCTGGTTTTATGCGTCAAACAAGGACAAACATACCACAGTTCGAATCAGCGTGTAAAGTTGTGTTTACGGATGGAAAATTGATTTCAAAATTGACTTCTATTCTAAGTATTCGTCGCCTTTGAAAGACAAAAGCCGCTCAAAATAATCCTTCACGTTTTCCGAATTCCTTTTTTCGAGGAAAGTTTTCTTTCGAATTACAACTCGAACTCTCACGATTGACATTTTGCTGCGTCTTATCTCTGGTTTTATGCGCCCAATAAGGACAAAAATACCACCGTTCGATTCAGTGTAAGAAATTATACTCACAGATGTCAAATGTATTACTAAACTACAGTATTCTAGCGATTTATGGCCTTTGAAAGACAAGCGAAATTGTATTGTTCACAAATCGCTCAAAATTATTAAACATAATTAAAAGTTCAATATATTGGACCTTGATAACTTTCGTATTGTTGGTTTTCTCTTTTTCGGCCGTATACCAGTGGATTCGTCTCACTTTTCTCTTTATTTTGTTAGTAGTTTGAGCCCAAAATATTATATTTTGAAGCTTTTAATGTGCAGTTTTAATAAGCGAAATTGTATTGTTTACAAATCGCTCAAAATTACTAAACTAATTAAAAATGCAGTCCGTTTGATCCTTCAATGATAACTTCGGAATTGTTGGGTTTTCTCGTTTTCGGCCGTATGCCAGTGGATTCGTCTCACTTTTCTCTTCATTTTGATAGTATTTTGAGCCCAAAATATTTTATTTTGAAGGCTTTAAAACGCAGTTTCGACCCTAACGTACGGACCAACTGGCGGCCGACAGGAGAATGTAGCGTGCTAAATATTAAACTAAGGTACCTGCAAGGTAGGGATTGCTGCGGGCATCAAAAGCAAATAGAACCACAGTAAAGAGCGCAAATTATATCAAGCACAGTGATTACTCGCAGCGACTAGTGAGCTGTGAATGGAACTGAAAAGAAGGCAAGAAGCAATATATATTGAAGTAGCAAAGATTGAAGTAGCAAAGACAAGGGGTTAAAGGGCAATCAGAGGTGACAGATATTAAACATGTGCGATTTCATATCAAGTCTGTCAAGTCATATCTGCTAGGTGCATTTACCACATTATATAGACTATATACACAGAATTATCACACTAAGAAACCAAAACTTTATAAAAAATATAGAACTGACAGTGGCCAAAGTCCAAAACAAATGTAAGCGTAACATTAAACGTCACATGAAAAAGCTTTAGAAATTCGATAAAAATTCGATGGTGCGTCCTCGCAGACCTCGCGCGCTCACTTTTCCCTCACTAGAAACTTCATGTATTAGCCAACAGGAGAAATCTAGGGGCCCCATCTAGCGTATTATTTTATATAAGTTTACTTGTAGCCGAAACGCCAGAAATGTTTTTTGCAGGGCACCGCATTTTAGTACTGTGTCTGGTTATATTAATAATCTCTGTTTTAGGAATGTTTTTATTCTGTCAACATGTCTAGATTTAGATTAAAACTAGGTTACCCACAGGACAGTAATGCTGCCTTTGACAGCAACAGACAAACTACAGGTTGTTGAACGAGTCCTTCAGAAACATTCTATTATTGTTATCCTAGTCTCTAATAGCCGCTACGCAGCCTATTGTTATCCTTGTTAACCCATTTATTGACAGCACGGCCCTACCACTGACTGAGTATTAAAAATCGTCTGGCGTTGGACAGGGTAAATACTAAAGTCATTACTGTGCTGACGGATTAACAAGAGCCATTGGCAGATAGGTTTGTTAACCCAATTACTCGCAGTACCCTGTACCACTGACGAGTAAAATTTTCTGGCGCTGGACAAGGGACTGGCGCATTGCCAGCTAATGGGTTAAACCACCGTGGTTAAACATAAGATTTGATGCTCCAGGAAATGTAAACAAACTATCAGTGTGACATCCCAGTTTATATATTTATACACTCGGAATATTGATTTCTCGGTAAATACAAAATTATTTTAAAGTATAACAACCAGCGAAGACGTAAGCCACTAACTACCCTGCGCGGCTGCGCGCAGACTATATAATGACATATATATGTTATCCGTCCGGTCCGTCCGTCGCCATCCGTCCGTCCGTCCGTCCGTCATTCATCCGTCCGTCCGTATCCGCGTTTTATCCTAACTCGTTTTTAAAAGACAAAAGTGCGGTTCGTCATGATCAACATTTTCAAAAGCGGCCAATTAGACCAGGGGTTAAAGGGCAATGACAATGACATGCAGGTGACATTTAACATTGCGTCTCACTAATTAAAATTTGTGTGTTTATTAATAATGTTTATCAAAGAAAGCAAAAATATATACAAGACAATCTCATGTGAAATTTTTTCACTTACGTACTGCCTTGTGATGCAGTACAAGTATAAACACCAAATGACAAAGCATTTGTAAATCCTAAAACATAATTAAATCATACGGCACATTCAAGATTTTAATATCGTATTTCAGCCGCGCGTTTATACTGCTTGGCGCATTCGCTGCGTTATATTCATTTATATACACAGAAAAGCATGTCATTGTCTTTGCGGACCATAGGCAAAAAGCATTCGTCAACCACATACCAAATTTAAACAATCGTTAAATCATATACATGTCATGGAAAGAATATGAAAATAATGTTGAAAAAGCACCCAACAAAATGCCGTTTGATCACTTTAAGCCCGCTATGGCTTTCCATAAAAGAAGACCAAAGATGAAAGATGATCACATTGCCTGTTTGCCTTATGCTTGACCGCGCTGTACCACGGTTAAAATTCACTGGTACCGTCATGCAATGCGCCAAATAGAAAATTTTGATATCGACCCACAAAACAAAATTAGGATCTGCTGCCTTGCTCGCTCGCTTCAGGCTCGCTCGCTGCGGCAGCAACAACGTCATTGCGCGCGATTGGTATTTTGGAGTCTGGGAACGTCCTAGTTTTTGACGACAACAGCCTAGTTTTTTTCCAAATAAGGTAATTCTAGGACGTTCTCAGACCCCTGCGCACAAAAAACTAGGACGTTCCCAGTCTTCTTCACCTTCTCACGCCCAGAAAACTAGGCAGTTTGCATTTATATAATTACAATGCGTGATATTAAATTACACTTGCGCTAATCTATCGCAATAACATCGGTGTAAACAGAAAAAAAGCAAGAAATACATTATATTCCTTGTATTCAGTACAGCTATCAATAGTACAATGTACTGAATATTGGTTATTACGCTTATCACTCATTTATTGAGGTAATGATTATTTACGCAAATAACGCAATGACGAATTGTGATTCATGTTTGGCATACATTACTAAATTGGATTCTTCGGTGTTGTTTTTAAAGCTGTTGTTTCTAATAATATGGGCATAGGCAATAGGCATGGTCTTATTTTTTTAGTTTGAGTACTAAAACTAGAGTTTTTATTATATAAACCAACGTCTATATATAGATTCTATACATGAATTGTAAAAGTATATCACATCTCTAAGCTGCACTTGACCTTTTAAACGGTAACTTTATAACGTCACAGTATTTATGGTCACCACTTTTCCCGATGCTTTGCTAACATGCAAATTGTCTAGTATTGGTTTTCAAAAGAACTTAGAACGGCAATTTTATAAAGACATTACCAATACCAGAATGCTAAAATTGTGTGTATTGTAATGGTATTGCAATTGTCACTAATTATAATGTTTTTATAGTGCAGTCATGCCAATTTCCATCAGTACTGGTATCAAAACCTGTAAAATGGACTATACTTTACAGCCATATATTACTAAATACATATCAAAACATGTATCATTAATTCATTTGCGCTAACCTTATAAGCCTCTCGCAAAAAAGTTTTAGGGGGGGGGAGGTACTTGAAAACTTGAAAATTGGGCTATTAATTTTTTTAATACTGAACCCCAGACACAAGCAAAATGCCATTTGGAACCCTGGTCAATGATTTTTTGCTAAAATCGATGGACAACAAAAAGCTTACTGCTCTAGTCCTTTTGGACCTCTCAAAAGCGTTTGACAGCGTGGACCATTCAATCCTGTTAAAGAAACTAAGTGCCTCAGGGAGCAATATTGTCACCGCTATTGTTTTGCATCTATATAAATGACCTCTCAAGAGTGCCACAAGCATCTGAGTTGGAATCATTCGTCGACGATTCTAAGATCTTTATGTCATTTCCAATTGAAGATATTGCTAGTGCAAAAACAAAGATTGAAGAGACCTCAAATTGGTCGCAACTTGGTTTTTTGAAAATAAGCCGTTGATAAACCCCGAGAAGACAAAGTTACTCTTGATAGGAACTCGTCAACTGCTCGGTAAGCTCCTTGAGGAGACGACAATTACATTTCTTGGAGAAGAGATTACACCAACCACAAATGCCAAAAACCTGGGATTAACCCTAGACAGTTATCTGACATACGATTACCATATCAAAAATGTTGTATCATCTTGTATGGCCAAGCTGTGTCAGATAAACAGAGTAAAGGATAGCTTTGATAGGGATAGTCTTCGCTTAATTATCAATGCTTTAGTAATGAGCAAACTTTATTATTGCTCTACAGTATGGTCAAACACTTCTGCAACAAATATAAAGAAATTGAGAGCAGTTCAGAATTTTGCTTGTAGGATATTGACAAATACGGGAAGATATGATCATGTAACACCATCACTACGGGCAATTCGCTGGCTTCCTGTAGAGGAACACTTAAAATTTAGAGAGACACTAATAACACACAAATGTATGAAAGGATTAGCACCACCTTACCTGTCCAAATTATTTATAAAAAGAATTGAAATTCACGATCTAAATACAAGGAATAATAAAGCGCTACACATCCCTCAACACAAAACAGTTTCAGGACAAAGAACCTTTTATTACAGAGCGGTGAAGTTTTGGAATGACTTGGATGAAGACCTTAAAAAGTTACCTTGGAAAAGTTTTGAAACTGAATTAAAGAAGATGCTAAACAACAATTAATTACTTTTTCTGATATTATAGATTTAATGGATTTTAAATAAACGATAAATATGTCATTATACTTCGTATCTCATAGACAAATAGATTTTAAATAAACGCTATAAATAGAAATTTTAATTTTAATATAACGATTCGTTCTGTAAATAGGTATTGAAAATCCCTCTCCGGGAATACTTCATTGAATAATAATAATAATAATAATAATAATTTTGTTAACCACTTGTCGAGACAAATGCAGCCTACAACACAGCTGACAGGAATGGGCTGCAAAAATAATTAAGTATCATATAAACATTTTTAAATGGAATTCTTAACGGCAATAAGAACTCACTTGTGCATGTAATAAACTAATTGCACCAAGTTATGTACGTCGCGTGCAGATGAAGCGAGCAATCCAATAAAAGTAGTCTAAACTCATTAAAACCAGTAGGTAATGCTCAACCAAATTGGATGTCATATTGCTGTATTTTACTAATTCCAAACTCCATTCAGATATGTTTGTATTTTCTATTAACGTATACAACTTAATGTAATTTTGTGGTGGATACGTTTCTCGAAAACATATAAAATATGATGAGTAAGAGATTTTCGCCCTTTAATTTTCCATAGTTGACAATATACACTCCCTAATGACACTTGAATTTATTAGAATTTATTAGATGTTGTCACACAAATCACACAATCACAGATAATTATTTACAGAGGTCAAAAAAGTATTAATTTACAAAAGGGTAATAATAACAGTTTACAAGAGTAGGTATTTATGTGACGAGAGTAGGTATTTATCTCAGTGATAATTATATGAACAAAATTGGTTTTATTAATTAACTATAATATAAGACGAGCAGAGATGCTTTTTCATTTTTTTGGTAAATGACGAATATGATACACTATTTATTATATTATTTAGATTGTTATAAAGAAGTGGACCTTGATATTTAAATGAAAATTGCCGTAGATTTGTTCTTGGAGTTGCAATGTAAAATTCATTAGCTCTCCTAGTATTATAATTATGTACTTGCCGTTTTAAAAGAAATGGGTTTTCAAAATGGTCTGGTAAGAGATTGTTCATGTACAAGAAGATAAATTGGCCAGTTTGTAATTTACGGAGGTCGTGAAATTTTAATCTTAGATTTTTAAGGATCAAATTGGTATGAGAATCGAAACTACTATTGTTTAAAATTCTGACAATACGTTTTTGAAGAATTTTCAAACGAGTTAAATTGAATGCATACGTAGATGCCCACAATATATTGCAATATTGCAAATAGGGATACACCATCGAGTAGTAAAGAGTTAACAGTGATTGTTTTAACAGAACAAAAAGCTAGATTTGCGTATTATTCCTATCGATTTGGAAATCTTATCTGACACATGATTAATGTGAGATTTCCAAGTGAGATGCTCATCTAGAATGACACCTAAGAAAACAATTTCATTTGTTTGAATGAGTTCTCTGTTATTAAGTACTATTTTAAAGTTTTGTCTAGGTTTGAATATCATAAATTTTGTTTTATCAAGATTTAAAGACAATTTGTTCGCTCTGAGCCAAATCGAAAATGTTTGTAGTTCTCCGTTTGTCACATTAACCAAGTGCACTGGGTTTATATGCGAAAAGAACAAGTTCGTATCGTCAGCAAAAAGAATTAGTTTTGCAACATCAGAAACATTACATATGTCGTTGATATATATCAAAAACATCAGTGGCCCTAAAAAAATGGATCCCTGTGGAACTCCACAGGTTATAGATTTAAAGGCAGAGCATGTGTTATTAAACTGAACAAATTGTTTTCGGTCAGAAAAGTAACTTTTTATCCAGCTCAATGCTATGCCACGTACACCGTAATATTCCAATTTCTCAAAAAGAATATCATGGTCCACCGTGTCAAAAGCTTTGGATAGGTCCAGGAAAATTCCCACAGCATATTCCCTTTTGTCGATTGCTTCTGAGATTCTATATCATATAAATCAACAAGGGCTAATGAAGTTGAGTGACCCTTTCTAAAACCGTATTGATTTACACATAAAATATTGTGTGTATTCAAATAGCTAGATAATCGTTTATAAAATACTTTTTCCAAAATGTTTGAGAAAGCAGGTAATATGGAAATAGATCTATAATTATTGACAAATAGTTTATTCTCTGCCTTGTATAAAGGAATAACTCTCGCTATTTTCATTTCATCCGGAACGAAACCATTAGGTAAAGACAAATTTACAATGTGTGTTAAAGGTCTTGAAATTAAGTCAACAGACAATTTGATAGCAGACATTGAAATGTTGTCATAACCAATGGCCTTTCCAGATGGAAAAGCTTTAGCGATATGTTTTATTTCATTTTCTAAAACTGGTTCAAGAAAAATACTATTTAAAAATTCGCCAGAAAGAAATGACCTAGCAGAAGCTGAAGATGCTGGAATTTTCCTGGCTAGCGAGGGACCTAGATTGCTGAAATAATCACAAAATTTATCACCAATCTCAAATGGATCGGATGTTTCACTACCATCCAGGTTGAAGGTAGTGATCAGCCTGGATTTAGCAGTTTTCTTATTTATAATACTGTTTAATATTTTCTATGTCTCTTTCATATTTGATTTATTGTCTGTCAGTCTCTTATCAAAATAAATACGTTTGGCGATTCGAATGGAATGTGTTAATTTATTTTTATAGGTCTTGTATTTACTTTCGATGACAGGATTTCGACTTTGCAAAAATTGTTTGTAAAGTTTGTTTTTCACAAGTCCTTTAGAAATCCAAGGCTTATACACTTTAGAATTTCTTTTCGACGTTTTTTGGGGGAAACACTTATTGTAAATGCTTATGTAAGTTTCAAGAAATGTTGTGTATGCATATACTGGATCACTAGATTCTTCTATCGTGGACCAACTTAAGTTTGCTAAACTTTCTTTAAACTTTTCAATATTTTTAGAACTTCTATCTCGAAAAGTTATAGTCTCATTCTTTGTTTTATTGTTGTAATTTTCAAATGTTATGGAAAAAACAGGAAGATGGTCAGATATATCCGAGAAAAAAAGTCCATTTAGGACACGACAATCAAAGTTATTAGAAAGAATGTTATCAATTAATGTGGCAGTGTGTGCTATAATTCTAGTTGGGCGAGTAATACGAGGGTATAGCATGTTAGAAAAAATATTATCCCCAAACTCTCCGGTTTTGTTGTGACATTGATAATTCATAAAGTTGACATTGAATCTCCCATTATATAACAAAGCTTGTTTTCTCTCAATATTTTTTCAGCTATGATACTAAAATCGTCAACAAAAGTATTAAAGTTTTGGTCCGACGGCCTGTAAACAACCCCCGCAATTATATTCTTCCCTTGAGGTTTAATCACCTCAATAAACCAAGATTCTATTGAATTTGAATCTGAAAAATGCAAATCTTTGCGGTTTTTAAACTGCAAGTCATTTGTTAAATACAGTCCAACATCACCGCCAGTTTTATTTTTCCTATGATTATGAATAAAGTTATAACCATTAATATCAACATCGTGGTCAGCATTTTGCAACCACGTTTAAGTAATACCAATAGCAGAAAATGTAAGCCTATAATAGCTAAGCCGCATAACCAGTCAGTGAGACGTGATATATTTTTTGAAATACTACGGATATTTAAATGTAAAGTCGAAAATCCAAGATCAGCGCAACTGCACTCATTCCTTATTATTTCCTTAAACTGATCCTCGATATAGTATTCACAAGCAGTATGGTTGAATTCGTCAAGTAAGTTTTCGTCTGGGTCCAGATTATTAAACAGTATTTAGTAATAAGGGGTTGAATAATAAAGTACTTAACCTATCTTGATCATAAACAATCGCACCATTTTGAAATTCATAAATAGTCAATAAAAAACTTTCATCATCTAAATCGGAAAAGGGAAAAGTATTTCTTGGTATAGAAGCCATTATTATAGATATATTAATTATACTATAATTATACTGTATAACGCTTGAATGGTATTGTTAAGCTAACTAATTACTAGAGTCATTAATACTGTTCAGGTCGTTTGTCTTTTATGACAAGTTTATCCAGGACGAAGTATGCGATCTTACCCTCCTGCTTAGCTTGCCTCAGTCTAGGCATCTGCTCCCTTCGCTTTGCCATTGTAGCTTCGGCGTCATCTTCGTGCACGTATAGGCCAGATGGTTTGATTATTCTAGCCTGTTTAAGAATGAGTTGCTTTTCCTCCCAGTCGTACAATCGGCATACAATATGCCTTGGAGTCTCCCTAGCTGATCCATTTAGTTGTGTGCATGGGTTTACCGACACGGTGTGCTCGTTCGATGGGAAGTACTAACGCCAGTCCAAGCTTCTCTGTCAAAGCAGCTTTGACCATAACTTCGGATTCCTCCCGGGTTTCATTACGTTTCTCAGGAATCCCTATTATACGAATGTTGTTCCGCCTACTTCGATTTTCCAAATCAGTAGTCTTATTGCAATAGGCGTCGAGGGACATTTTAACATTTGATAATTGACTGAATCTCGACTATATTCTTGTCAAGTGCTGTCTGTTGAGAAGCAGTATCTTTCTGTGAATACTCCAGACTGCATTTCAGCTCGGCTACTTCTTTCACCAAGTTGTCTACTCTTAAAGTCGTCGCTTTCATCCGGGACTCAACCATCGATTTGAAAGCGCTTTCTTGTTGTGCCATTAATTGCTTAACGATTAACAAGGATATATAGTCATCTTGTTCATCTGTTTCGTCTGAGGTTTTTGTTTTTGTTTTAGATTTAGATTTCGGAGGCATTATTCAATAATGGTGTTACTATGTAGAGAGCGAAAAAAAGGCACGTCTGCTCTCGTGGATGTCTGCTCTCATACTTTGCTGCTCTCTACTTTGCTCTGCTCACACTTCATACGAACTAGAAGTCTTTCGTACACTGCATGGTGAGATCACATTCACAACACCACGTATTGAAATACATCACTGCCATTGCCATACTTCATTTTGTTGCACTGGACCGGTGGTGCCTAAATTACTTTTTGAATTTGTACTCGAGTAAAAGTAGAAGTAATTAACAATAAAGTAAAAAGAGTAAAAAGTACTGCAGGCAAAACGTACTTAAGTAAAAAGTACAAAGTATCCTTAAAAAATACTAGAAGTACAAAGTAAAAGTACCATTGTCTGTACTGTGGCGTGTATGGAAATCCATTAAAAAAATGTTTACAAGTAAGCCACAAACGAGAGATCCCAGACGCATGTAGAAGTCCTATTAACTATCCCAAAATTAAAATAAATCGGGAATAAATCACGTAAAATTAAACAAAAGTTAGAAAGTAACGAAATATTTCGCCACAAAATGAAAATAACGAAGTAAACCGTTACTCCTTAAAACGACTTCGTTCGAAGTAAAAGTACTCCAGAATAAGTTTACTTTGTTACATGCTGACTTCTCAAAAATAGTACTCAAGTACAGTAACGATGTACATTTACTTCGTTACCTGACACCACTGGCCAGGACACTTTCTATGCTGTAGACCATATATAAATCATGGAATGCATCAACTTTAATGCAGGCCTTTTTAGGTCATTGATGAGCCTTCTGGGTTCCCCATGAAACATCAGTATTTTGTTTCTTAAAAACCTTGGCTCGCAGGCAAACAGTGCGCGCAAAGTAGGCTGGTCATTTCCCATTGTTTAATCAAAAAGGGGTTACGCACCTCTCCTCCGCAGAGCTTCATTGTGTATTTACGAATAACTTACATGAAGTTTCCTGAATAAAAATGAGCGCGTGGGTTCTTCCCATCACTCCCTGCTCGCTCACTTTCCCCTCACTTGAAACTTGTAAGCCTCTGCGGTGGAGAGAGGGTACGCACTGCGTAGATTTGACAATAAGTGCTCAATGGTGGATGAAAAAATTTGGTTGAAGGATTTTTTGTTAATGGAAATTTTGAACAAAGGATTATCTACTACACTTCTTCAACATTCTGTACATTCAAACTGGCATTGCCCCCTTACCTTGTTATTTTGCCCTGCCTAATAGGTTTGTCCCGAAAGTGATTTATGCATAGCGAGGCCCTTCCGCGGCTTTAAAATATTCCAGACACGAATCTATACCCAACATGAGACAATTGATAATAGCCTACAAAGAAAGTTTATTTCTCCCCACGCACACTGGTACTTCTTGGCGCTTTGACAAACCTATATTTCCTATTCAGTCGCTATATTTGACGAAAATGGTTTATATAGCGAGACCGTAGCAGGAGCGGATCTATCCATCTGCAAGGAGGGCTGCAGGTTTTCCATGGGGTCGTGTACGTGGGAGCCTTACTGCTCGGCAGACAGCAACGCTACTATCCCAACATTACCATTATTACCCATAGTTATCAAGGATTTAAGCCTTGATTATGCCAATTACTCTCACAGTCGTGCATGATCTTGTTGTTAAGGCTGATTTCCACTGTTGCGTTTTTCATACGTACGTATATACGCACGTAAAACCTTAAATCCTTTTAAATGTTACTTATGAAATAACCAAATAAATAAAGCATTTAGTGTTCCGCAAGTTTTAGTATGCATTTGTTAACTTATTTGTAAAATATTTAAAAAATAGAAGGTTCAAAATTTTATGTGCGTGTACGTGCACGTACGAAAAACGCAACAGTGGAAATTAGCCATAACCAAAAAAAACAGAAATTGCATATGACATTACATCGAGATTTAAGACTTCAATTGTAAACTTAAATTGCAAATAATTTGAAATTTAGGTTAACTTCATTGAAATACGCAATAATCAGGAGCGAATAGCAACTGCATGAATTGGAATTAGTCTAATAGACCATTTTTTGTTAATTTTTAACATGGTCAAAAATGCTTGTTCGATTTATAACATTGATAGTCTCAGTTAATGTCGCATGAACATCTTATTGTTATAACGTGGATTTTAAGTCAGTCTGTTCTGGATAAGATAAAAACAGGGGTGGATTTATAGGGGGGTGCACAGGGGTGCGCACCCCTGTTGGCCTTGGCCAAAAGGGGTGCAAAGCTAAATGGGGTGCGGAAAATCAAATTTAGAAATATGGCACAATTTCCAAGGTTTTTCCTTTTTCGAAGTCAAAACTGAAGCTCATAATTCAATGCCCATATTGCAGGAGATGGTATTTCTAGTGTTTTAATTTTCGACATTTTCCGGGGGCATACCCCTGGACCCCCTAGGGAGCTTGCGCCTTCGGCGCTCAAGTCGTTAGGAAGCCAATTCATTTGAATGCTCTCCCACCACCCCCTAAAGAATTTTGAAGAAACACTTGGTTGCTCACCTAGAACCCCCTAGAAAAACCTTGTTGGATCCACCCCTGGGTAAAAATGATTTCAGCGTAATAGCTATTCAAGGTATCCCGCTACAAATCAAACAGCATAAGTTCTGGGGGTTTTCCATATCATACAAGTACTCTCAAAATAGACGGAAATTTTATATTTTTTAGGAACCTCAATCTGTAGTACTGAAACTAAGAAAACCCAAGAATCAGAAGAAAGTGCAATGGGATGCTGATACTGTAGACAATGAGTCTATGGGCAAAAAATCTTCGAAATGTAAGTTATTAGGGTGCATGGGCCATGTCATAAAAGCTGCAAGAAAGATAATCTGCATTATAAATTCATTCTATAGTATCTTAATATATAAAATTGGACACTTTGTCACTTAAAATTTGTTGTTCTTATAAAATATTTTTTATTGCCGTAATAATTACGTAATTAATTTTTGGCATTTTTTCACTGGTACTAAGTTTAATATTTCTAATCCCCGAGCTAGTTCCTGTTATCACATGTTTATTGAACAATTTGAAATGTTATTTTCTCAAAAAAATGGCGGAAAAAACCCATGCAAAACTGTCGAAAACCACGATTTGCAAGAAACAGACGAATTTTGCAAGAAACGAAACAAGATCTTCCAGGCGGTCCTCAACTTTTGCTGCCTCAACCCCATAAATCCCTGCGCTTGTTCGTCACGATGCACTACTTCATGTAAACCTTTTAAATAGTGCCTTGTATGTGAAATATTTTTATGGGGCCTGGGGACGGAGCAGTGGATGTATTGAAATAAACCACTATAAGTAAAACGCCGGTTAAAATAACACAAATATTGTCGAGAAGATCCCGTAGTTCAAAAGGATTATTATTGCTGCTTGAACAACTTTTTGTTTACAATTCACTGTAAATCTGTCACTAGAAAAGTAATGTAGTTTTGCTGAATCGTGCACCGTGACTTATTTCAATACATCGAAATCATCCCGCCTCGCATCTCGTCCCGGCAAAGCGAGATCAAGTAAACAGCCCCTAAGTTTGATATTTTTTATATAATACTGGGTTCATATAACTAATGAGAGACTAGTTCAAGGTCGTGGCCGTAGAACAATAATTTTAACTGAGCTGTGAGTTTTTTGTGAAGTAGGGAATATATTGTTGTTAGGATTCTTGTTTCATATTGACTTTATTTTAACTCTATTTTTGTGTCTGGGATTGCGAGGCCGGAATTACACTTAAACCATGTGCATTGCATTTAGTATTGTCTAACTTAAATTTTGATATACGCCCTGTTAGACAATACTGAATGTAATTCACGTATAGTTCACGTGTAATAGCTCTTTTAGTTTTTAAGTTAAAACAAATCAAACAGGCCAACTCTTGTGCGCCACCCAGTAGTCCAAAGTGAAAATTCCATAGAGTTTTTATGTTGTTGCTAACATGATTATCAAGAAGAAAACGTTAAATTTTATATTTTCAGGTTGTTGTGTGTATGATAAACCTCGAGCATTTGGAGAATCTTCATCAGAAAGTGGATCAGATGGTGAGAATGGTGGACATAATGCATATTGCCCTGGTCATAATAAAAAACATAATCATAAACATAAAGAAAAGGCTGGCGACTCGTAAACTAATGTTCTGTATTTATTCTTGGATATGATAGTACCGTTGAAAACAGTTTTCTCTGCGATTGGGGCTGAGCTTTATCTTGACTGTACGAGGAGGCTCAATTTAGGAAGTTTTTATATCTGGAGTTTAGCCCATCTTGTAGACGCTAACTGGATTCCTTCTCCCCAACCAGAAATCAAGTTAGTCAACCTCGCAAGCCAGGATATTTCCTCCCGTTACCCGGCCTTCCTTCCCCAAACACGTGGAAGTAAAGGGTCTGGCTTGCGAGGTTGTGAGTTAGTGTCGATAACATATGTGGTAATGACGCTGAGCTAAAATTAAATTAAAAGCTCGTGAATTCGTTATAATGCTCGGTTGTTGGAAAACACGTGAAAGAAATACCAAAGGAAGTTTGATTGTCAGCTGCATTGTGTTATGCTTTTTATTGAGGAATTGAAACTTAAATTGAACTCACTAACCTTTCACTTAGTGTATTCTAACTTGCTGTCATAGTTAAATGTTAATATTGAATTTTCGTAATGCTTATATTGTTTCACATGTTATACTTTGCATTATCAATTTGAATGAGATTAAGGCCTGTTTCATACGTCGAATTTCGGTCACGCTGAATGCAATACAAACAATGTATAATGAAGTTTAATGATTCTAGCCTGCGTCCAGAGAAGGTTGGACAGCAGGCCGCAAAGCATCATGGGTATTGAGCGCCTAATTCCGCGCGTGCCGCGTGGCTTCTTTGACTGTTGACTGTCGAGGAGTGAACATCTCTGACTAAACCAATATGGAAGCTTTCGAACGACAAGAGTGTCAGGCTGCGATACTTTGTGAAAAGAAACAGCATGTTATTGCTGTATTGTTGCGATCATCATTATGACTTTTACTATACCAAGTTTACCTTTTTTTAAATTGCATGGGACATGATGTCATTTTAGCTTTATAAACAATGCGTCTGAGCGAAGGAATTGTGTTTATATTCCCAATAGCGAGACTCTTCTTTCTAACTTGGATGACGTTAAATCTCCGTGTATCATCAACATGAAAACAAGCGCAATATTTAAGATTGGTATACTACAATGCATTACCAGTTATCTTGTTATTTAGTCAAATTATTATCCGCTTTGTTGTTTTTAACCTTGTACTGTAATTTTATAAATACACTGTACAAAATTATGGCGTAATATTTATCACTTATTTATTGAGACGGAGGGAAACAGTGTGTTTTGTGGACCCGAGACCGTCGATGTTTCCCGAGGCGAAGCCGAGGGAAACATCGACGGTCGAGGGTCCACAAAACACACTGCTTTCCCGAGGTCTCAGTAAATAAGTGTTTTATTATATGTCAATAGTTAAAATAAAACAACAAATTAAAGAACAAATGAACGTAAATACATGAAATATTTTATTGTTAAAACGTTATATTAAACACTGGCTACACTGCAGTTACTTAAAGCGAAAGTTTTAATTACGTACTAGGCATGTCCAAAGGTCGCATCTTCACGTGATGGCGCACGTGATTTTTTTTGTTATTCGCCGGTCGATAACGTATTATCTCCCTCTCGCGCTGTTGCGAGGGAGACAGCCTAATTTCGTCACTCTCACGTGATATGCTCTCAACCAACAAAACACTAGAAAAATAGGTACTACACGATGCGTACATGTATCTGCGAAAAAACTTGATTCACATTTTGTATTTTATTGAAAGAAACTGAATAATGATGACATGGGACAATTGAAATATTTCATCACTATAATCATCATTATAATAGCAGATAAGGTTTAAAACAGGGCTGTACACAGCGCGGAGTGCAGCAGGGTAAGTGCTCCCCCCCCCCCCCGCACCGAGAAAATTTAACTAACTTTATAATGTGATTATGATTGTAACAGATAATTATGCAGTCAGGAAATAAAAATTTCATGCAAACAATATTCGAAGTGTCTATACAGCCAGCTATTTAGTAAACTGTCACCTGTCAATTCAATCCATACTCATCAAATTTTCAAAACTTTATTGTAATCATATGAAGCAAAAGGTATGTCACTTGTTGTTTACACTTGCCAATGTTAACTGTTGAGTAACATACACAAAATATTTGGTGCACATGTCGAAGACCACTGAATAATTGAGAATGTTTTGAAGGTCATGAGTGAAGTATATAATTAAATTCCAGTTCTGTGCACAGTTAATGATATACCACACTGTTCGGTTTAACACGTACATCACATTCACAGAAAAACAATTGTGTTGTGGGAGATTATCGGTTTGAGTAGAAGGTATCACAAGTTTAGTTTTGTACATTGTGTGCCATTGATCAAATCCACCATATAATATATGATTATTCATTGTAGCTGTTAAGTTATTTTCCATACTAATGAATTTAGGTAAGATTGTCTTGCAAGTTGGTTGTTCTGACAAAATTATCCAGCCAATATCCAGTACATTTATTCTTCATTCTTGTATTAATCTCTAAAGAAAAATATTTATGTTAGAAAGCAAAATGACAATGTAATGAGACTCGGGAGGGTGAGGATTCTTTTATTTGAAAATGTTAGTAAATATTTTGTTTAATTAACTCTAATGTGTAAAACCAAAATGTATAAGTATTTTAACTGATAACATCTTCAACCTTTGCTCTAACACTACATTTGATGACAGCTTTATAGTTGGAATGTTGTTTTGAACAGAGTTACGGAGTCAATATACAGAAATACAGGACCAGGATTTAATTCAATATCTCCTGAGAATGTTTTCACTGTTTAAAATATTACAGAAGTCACAGAAGGATTGTTTTTAAATAAAATATGTGGGACATATATTTGCACAAATTTGGTATTTAAATATATAATATGTGGTATTTGACTATTTACCAGACGAGGATAAGATTCCATGTTGATAAATAACTTCGGAATAATATCGCAAGTAGAATGGCGAGAAAAAGAGACAGCCAATTCAAGATAAATTGATAAAAATATCAAGATATTTTTTAAAGAATATAAACACGATTTGTACACGAGGCCTGACGAGGCTAAAGTATGACCGTTCGCAGGTTAGATGCGGGCACGATGTAAACAATTGATGTAGACGAATCGCTGATTGGCTTAAATTGGCTTAAATTATATAAGCTCGTCGCTGAATGGCTATGTGTTAACATACGGTAACACTACGGTCACGTTTGCGATAGCAATATATCTGCTTCGCAGATACAAAAATAGGTACGCAAAGCGTACATGTATCTGCGAAAAAACTTGATTCACATTTCGTATTTCCTTGAAAAGAACTGAATAATGAAGATGACATGGGACAATTGAAATATTTCATCACTTATTATTATAATAAATATAATAGCAAATAAGACTTTAGCGGAGGGCAGCAAGGACAACTGCCCCCCCCCCCCGCCCCGCCGAGAAAATGTAACTAATTTTATATAAATGTGATTATGATTGTAATATAATTGTGCAGTCAAGAAATAAAAATGTCATGCAAACAATATTTGAAGTGTCTATACAGCCAACAGCCGGCTAATTAGTAGTATTGATATTCCAATCTGAAGCTGAATCTCTGCTCTTTATGCAGCCACTATTACTTTGGCTTTGCTTTAATAAAAGCAATTAATCAATGCACATACTGCTTTATGATCAGAGAAATGTTTCCAATATGTGTGACTAATACAGTAATAGCTTGTGATTCTGCTAAATTTGTATAAAAATGATCTATCAAAGTCTGGTTGTCTGTAATGAAAGCAGACACCAATTGTCTATAGTTATCAGTCATTGACAAAGAAATTATATAAAGGTCTTCTATTGGTTTCATTCAACTAATTTATATTAATTAAAAATGTTAAATTGAGAAGTGCATAAACATCAACACTTACATTCGATATACACGTACCTACAATGGTAACATGTGGAAGAATCATTACTTTCATAGTTTCATAATAGTATTTCAATGCCATTAGTCAATAATTTGTTTGTCTAAAATTGCGAATCATTTCGTTTGCACTGCGTATTTATAAATGATGAAACCCTTCAAATGCTTGCAAAAATACACTCTCGACCTTTGGCATATTCAGACTAGTAAAACGACGTTGTTTTGACTGCGTTTGATGTGTAATTTTAATTGTAAATTGACAACTGAAATTTTCCTTTGTTTCACCGTTCAGTAAACCGCCATTTTGAAATTATTATCATTACGTCATTTTATCTATACGCTGTCGCTGATTGGCTAGAAGCACGCTTACAAACTTCCGGTACGCGCAGGATAGCAATAGTAATATATTCTCACTGCTCGCTTTCCCCGCACAATACCTTTGACTGAGGGAATTCAGATTGGGGATAAATAATTTTCAGCCAAAGGTAGAGTGTGGCGAAGCTAGGTCCAGAAGTGTCGCAGCCGAGGGGAGGTGGGTGGTTCCCAAAAAATTTCAGCGCCGTCCTTCCTTTTCGGTGGAAAATCCGCAAATGCTCAAAAGATACCGATTCTGTGCTACTTTTATACTGTCTGATAATCACGTGGTGTATATGGATGACTAACTGATCATCTCATGCATAAATATTCAAAGTATATGGTATTGTGAGAGAAAACTCCCAGTGAGAATATATCTGCATTCGAAGATACAAAAACAAACAATCGTCGAATGCTCGGCCTGACGACAATTTCCGAAATTCATCATCTTAACATCCTATTTGTTAGGTATATGACCGAGTGGAACGGCCGGTATATTACTACTAAAGCATGTGAAGCATTAAAACACAGAATAGGAAGTTATACCAGAAGCGTAACTCGAGCAAATATTTGTCCGCGTTTTTACAAGCGATTCGTCATCAATCACGCCATCCTGGCTAGTACAACCGGCACTTTGTACCTACCAAATCCTGATAAAAACTTCCGGCTGTACTAGCCAGGATGGCGTGGGCGAGTTAAAATTTTCGTGGACGTCAAACAATAAGGGAAACGACTAGAGTTACGCTTCTGGTATAACTTCCTATTCTGTGATTAAAATGTGTTCTCGATCTAGCCAATCAGAATTCGGTGTTGAATCATAATAATTATGACGTCAGTAATTGAACAAGCGCGCTACCACTTACTCGCTGACGGTTGATGAAAAAAAGACTACAAAGAATTACTTTTGTGATGAAACTTGAGATAGCGGAGTATTTCTTCTTAAATTGCAGGAAATCAGATAAACTGGTAGGTATATAATTATCGAGTATCTATTGGATTACATAAACATTACCATTTTGCTAAGCGTGCAATAGAATGCGTTCCACTGCACGATCAGCCGTGCATATTTGTACTATATGTTTTATTCCATTGCACGCAGTTTAGTTTTTAAGTAAATTCCATCCGTCAAAATCTTAATGGTATCCTAATAATGGTTCATGTTCCTAATCTTCGTAATGAGGCAAATGAATTAATAAATTCAAATGCATAATGTGTGAGAATCACTAAAAATATCACTTTTACGACAATGTTGAGTTAAACAAATGCCATTATTAAATTAATTCTTCATTCAAACATTTTTCTATTATAATACTTTTGTTTGTGGAAACACCACGTATAAATTTATAGTAACAAATTTTGTGCAGTAATGAATTTACGTGGTGC